TAACACCCCAATGGGTCTGGGTTCAATCCCAGCCGAGGTCGGTGGGATTTTTCTGAGGCATAAAAATCTCTGGTCACGTCTTCCTTCGGAAGGGAAGTAAAGCCGCTGGTCCCCTGGCCCATGTGTGTTGAATGATTGCGATATCCTACGCAGGTGTAGAAGCTGCCTTCTTGCACATTCGATTGCCATCAATGGATGGCAATCGATGTCCGTCGGTGATTGGCACTAGATTGCGCTCTGTTCCGACGTTAAAAAAAGGAAAAAGAAGTAATTTAGATGTTTAGCTATAAACGGTTTTACTGATTCGAGGTCGTTCCTTAAGTGGTACTGGTTAAACCTTTGGCGGCCGGCGGATTCAACGCGCCTACGTCTACGGAGGTTACGCAGAAGTGATACGCAATTCGGTAGAGCTTGTCAAACGCTTTTGAGCTTATGTAGTATAGAATTTGTTCAGTACGGTCGTGAAATCTTAGAATGATTGATCCTTCCGTTAAATTAACTAATTTTATTCAAAGCTCAGTAGTAAATAAGTAGAATATTTAGGGACGAAACCAAAATTAATCAACTTGCCAACATAGGCTATCACATTTATTTGGTGGCACTCTTTAAATGATAACAACTTTTTTTTTCTCACTTCGGTTGTTTCGCACGGCGTTTGGAATGCGCGCGATTTTCATAACTTACATAATTGCGTTCGAAACGGATTTACTTATTCAATCGGATTACTACGCGGATGTACAAACTTAGAAAAAATCATGAAAAATTTAGGTGCTCTGAGAGTGACATATACGAGCGTCAATTTTGACATAAATTTGAGTCATAACAGACGCGAAACATAGCTTAATCAAACGTACTTTTCGTCGAGCAACGTCGAGGAAATCGAATCCTTCCACCCAGCATGGTCTTGCTTCATATCTGCGCCCTTACCGGGAAGGGGGACCCCAATGTAATGCCTATGTGATTCATAATCTTCTATTCATTGTTCTCTAGTTTGAAGTGATATGTGATATCAGTTCCATTGCTTGATTTTGTCCAGGCCAGTGACAAATCCTATACCAACAGCAGCCTTTGGCAGTAGGCAACATGTCCCGGGTTCAAATAATGTATTTTGCTTGCTGGGCCCGCTGTCACGGTACAACATGTTGCCTACGTGCTTGCCACTGGGCTGATTTTGTCGCCATGGAATCCGAATTTAATAAATAAAGGGGGCCTTTGGAGGATACTCTCATTCATCGAAGAGTATAAATTGTGGGACCTTACATTTATTATCGATTCCTTAGCTAGGTTGGCAGCTGTATCCAGGCATGGAAAATCATTTGCATTCATTTCGTGAATTCATTTACATTCATTTGTCCCTAACTTTTTTCAACAACAGAATTCCGCAAAATATTGTACCGAGTTTTTTAGGCTTTGTTATTAACTACAACTTTTGTTAACAACTTAAATCCGTATCTCTTATGCATGACGAACCAGAGGAAACAGGAGCCATTACTGTTTTTCAGTGAATGTATTTTACATTCACTGAAAAACGGTAACAAGTTCTGCCCGCTGTAGTTTGTAATGCATAAGAGATACAGATTTGAGTTATGGGCAAAAGTTGTAGCTTATAACAAATCCTACAAAAGCTCCATACATTATTTTGTAGAATGCTGTTGATGAAAAAAGTTAGAGGCAAATGAATGTAAATGAATGCATGAAATTAATGTAAATGATTTTCCATGCCTGGCTGTATCCAAACTGAATATTTGGTATAAGAAAAGAACGAGTACTTTTTTAAAGATGGGAAATTAAGTGATGGCATATTTTATTCGTGATACAAAAAATTACGAAACCAGAAAAATTCTGAATAACTGCTCTTGTTTGAAAAACTAGATTCTTTGAATTTCGGGGAATGTACGAAATTTCTTCGATGAAGGAAAATAAAAAATCTCAGTCGCATCTCTCAAAAAGTTTTCCTAGTCCTAATAATGTGGAAAAAATATCCAAGTGTACACAGTTAAAAAAAAGTAGTCTTCGTGCAGGCTACTACTACTGCCTCTACCCTTAACATAAAGTAACTACACAGTTCGAAAAAGTAGTGTAAATTTCTGTTCAACATGATGCACATAAATGGAGCGTCACATATCATATAAGTTTACATTATGTATCATGTAAAGTTTTGACACATTTCATGGAATGTAGCAAATATTGTATACAAAAGCCCATCTTTGTAAACAACATTGTTCACAAGTTGCTCGGTTGCGTGAAATGAAATACAAGTTTACATCACATTTAAAATTCAGAATTTTTATCTGTATACACATAGATGTCACCACTTGTCCCCGTATCATTGTCATTGCTTGTTTTGTAGTTCCCTTGTTATGTTATAATAAATATACGTTTATAGTCCTCATACCTCCGCCATGGCAAGACGGTCAAATAATCGTTCTCTTATCAATATTTCCTTTTATCACACAACGTAAAAATCAGTCCTATCCGTGCGCGATCAAGTAGTGTAAATTTTCGTTACTATGATGCAAATGGTTGGTTGGTTGGTTGTCTTTATTAAGGAGATGTTCATCCAGACGCTGGTTCATCTCCGGAGCAGATGCACATAAATGGAGCATCATACATCATACAAGTTTACATCATAGATCGTGTAAATTTATGAGTCACGTCATGAAATATTCCACATATTGTATGCAAATGTCCATCTTTGTATGCAACTTTCCTGCAAGTTACTAATTTACGTGAAATAGAAGTTTACATGCTTGGATATTTACATCACCTGTAAAATTCAGATTTTTTTTCTGTTTAGAAAGTCTTAACGATATAACTGAGCAAGGAAGCTCGTCAAAATCTGGTTAGATTAAAACCATTCTACCAGATGACCATTAGGTCTAATGATTATTTGGTCTACGGACACCGTATCGATATTCAGAGATTATTCCAAATGCCTGTTATGCCAAGTATTCATTATGCCAAGTGTACATTATTTCAGACGTCCGTATGCCAAATGTTCTTATGCGTCGTTATGCGAAAAGTACCAGACCCTCTCAATTATATTTGTTACGGTATGAATTAACAGATCTAATGATTCAGACAACTCCAAATTTTTGAAGAAAAGGATTTTGATGTGTATTCCTTCAATGAGAAACTTATTGTGAATTAAAAGATTATTAAAATAATCACCAATAAAGTGAAGATCTTATTGTAAATTTTGCATATAATTTAAACTTATTTTATTTTATTTAAGAAAATTATTTTTGTTACAGTCAATTACAATACAAGAGATTTAAAATTACTTGCTGGTTTTTGCGTAAAATAATCAATATTTTCTTTCAAAGGTTACAAGTAAACCTTTGAAAGTTTTTTTCAAGTTTTTTTTTGTGATCTGAAAATTTTTCCAGTTTGGTTAGAAGTTTCGAGGCTTATGCATGTCCACAGGCCTAATAGAAAGATAGACAGAAAAAGTGTATCATGAAGAATGGTTGCATGTAGTGTTGCTTCCACTCACTTGCAATAGATGAGTGATTTTCGGAGTTTTGAATTCGTTAGATGTTGTATTGGAGATTTGTGTTGTTAGATGCAGGAGGAGATTGGAGGGATGTGAGGGGTTTTTGACGCATAGAGCCTGTCAGTTTTGCTTTCAGAGCGTCGCAGTCAGCGGTTTTATGATTCCTGGTTGCGTGAAATATATTTGTGAAATATCTTTTGGAGATTTTTGTAGTAACGTTTTGTTTGTAGTTTATATTTTATTTCTTTCATGTAATTATCGTAAATAATCGTTATTCAATAATAGATAGTTCATCCATATATTCGTACTTTGACGCAAAGTGCTATAGATTATGAGATGCTCGATGACCCTGGAGGGATCGATTTTGCTTACTGAGCAGAAAATCGTGGATTTAACCCCAAGCTCTTCCACAGCACAATAAATCGCCACCATCATTTGTATATTTGATATTGAACATTAACCTCGGAAACTATTTGCATATCAAGCGAAAACGTAGTCCTGTATTGTCGCAAAGCGTTATACACTGGAGTCGCTTTTTACGCGGTTTTTTTTACGCGGTTTTTTTACACGGGTTTTTTTACACGGTTAGTGCCGCTGAGTCGCAATTTACGCGCTACGTTTTTAACGATTTCTTGACAACGATACGACCTATCGACTTGATTCCAATCACATTATCCGTTTCAAACTATAGGTGATCGAATAGCATACTTTTAAAAAAATCACAATTTTTGGTGTAAATACAGAAATTTTTAAAATATGTCTATATGGACCACAGCATGCTATAATAATGAATGGCATCAAAATCCGGTTTATAAAAAATATTTGAGCATGTGAATAATCAAAATCTCGGTAGTTTTTTTCACGCGGTTTTTTTTTTTACGCGGCACGTATTCCCCGCGTAAAAAGCGACTCCAGTGTAGTTCTGAGATGCTCGATGACGCTGGAGGGATCGTTTTTGCTTACTGAGCAGAAAATCATGGGTTTAATCCCAAGCTCTCCGCCATGACTCTTAAAATTGATGATCACTAAGCAAAATGAATACGTTCTTTCGATAGCCGACTATCGAGAGATTAAATAAACAACAAATAAACAATACATACTTTTGGTTGCATCGCCAACTTGAGGTGAATCCTAACCGAATACCCTACCCAACCCTCCAACTCCGTAGGACTTATGAGGGTGTCGCTAAGTCGGTGGCCTCTCCTTAAGTAAGTACTACATCAACATTTCCTTCCCTATCCCTAGTTATGGTAAAAATGGGCGTGGCCGAGAATAGCGACAGTCATGCTTCTGTTACTCTTGTTTAGATTGGAACCAATGTTTACTCCCCACAATTATTCCTGAAAGTAGTTTAACTGAGAATTTCAGAAGAGACGTGAGTGTCGCTAGTATCCAATCTACGAAGTATATCATTACAACGCTAAAAGATTATTAAAAAGAAAAAATTACATTCGCTAACATTTAAAACATTCTTAAAACCGTGATATGTTTTATTTCTTTTTAGAGTTGTCGTATTCCTCGCCGATGGTTTACGTGCTGAATCATTTCTACAGCACCAAGCAAACAGAACCAAATTCATACAGCGGACACTCATTTCGAAGGGAGCATTTGGAATATCAAATACTCACGTGCCTACGGAATCAAGACCTGGACACGTTGCTTTGTTTGCTGGTTAATTAATAAATATAATGTGTTTAACTTGTACTGAAAAATATTTATTTTCAGGTTTCTATGAAGATCCTAGTGCGATTTTCAAGGGATGGAAAGAAAATCCGGTTAACTTCGATTCTGTTTTTAACCGTAGCCGTTCTACCTACAGTTGGGGAAGTTCAGACATTTTGACTGTATTTTCGAGTAAAATAGATTCTGGAAAAATTTATACTGACAGCTATCCGCCTGAAATAGAGCAATTCTCAAGGAGCTCAAATACTAGCATTCTTGATATATGGGTGTTTGATAAAGTGAAACAGTTTTATGCGAATTCAGAAAATAGCAAGAAACTTTCATCAGGCAGAAAGCTTATACTTTTCTTGCATTTGTTGGGAATGGATACGTCGGGACACATCCATAAACCATATTCTCAGTGAGTAAAATAATTTGAAATAAAATTTAACCAAGACATAATTTTTTTTCTTTTCATATAAAGTCTCTTTACAGAAAATCTTATTATCGTAGATAAAGGTATTGAACAGATAGTTCAGCTTATTGACAATATTACGAACCATGATCAAAGGACCACATATATCTTTACATCGGATCACGGAATGACGGATAGGGGATCACACGGATCTGGTCATCCTGTTGAAACTGAGACTCCTTTTGTGATATGGGGAGCAGGAGTGGAGCATTGGACAAGTTTAAATGATGATGTTTCGTAAGTTCAAATGATGTAATGGTAGAGTATAATCAATTGGATTCTAAGCTGTCATGTAGTATTGCAGGCTTGCTCAACTTTTCTAAGCTTGCTATTTTAAATGGCTTATCTACACCTATGTTCAATATATATTGAGCTGAAATGCATATTATTAGTACTGCTATTATTTTGAACAATTTTACCTAGTGTCTCACTTTCCAACAGGTATGTACTTCCAACAATTTGTTATTTTGTAATCGTAAAATTGAACATATTTGTAGTTCTGTGGCGAACGTTTCAGCTCAATTAATCATTAATTAACAAAGTTACATCATTTCAAAGTTGACCATTTTGTATGTATATCGACATGCGCTGCTATTATATTGAACACAACTGTTTGTTTGATGAACATGTTTCAAGCTGCATTTTGTTTATTTATCATTCGTTCTGGGTTAAAATTCATACTGGTGAATAAATTGGACTAAAATGATAGTATTGGTGAGATCCATAGACCACGCACGGTTCACGGACCGCAAGTTGGGTACCCGGATAAAAATAGCCATAAAATTACAATAAAATACAACATATTCTATTGTTGACAATTAATCTTATTGTTATTCTATTGTATTGGTAAAATAATCAAATAGTCACTACAATAGGTTTACAACAAATTCTATGAAACAAAATTTTGCACAATAAAAAAAAACAATAAAATTGATTGTAATGAGATCAAATTTATTCGAGAAAAACATGATTTTTTTATGGTTACGGTAACTAACAACCCCCCTTTTCTATTTTAAATGTCTTACTAACAATATATTATATTGTAAATAACTATAAGTTCTATTGTTTTTGACAATAACATTTATTGTTGATACAATAACATTTATTGTTTTTTTGTTTATTAATTTATTAGATAAGGCTCAACCGAATTAACTTTACAGAGCCGAGGATTCTTGGTCACTAGACAATACATCTTAAAACTAAAGTCAAAAGGTACAACACAATAAACACTTTATCTTCCGCTATCCAAAAAGCCTCCTCCATCAGAACTGGAGCCGCTTCCAGTAGTTTCATTGTATGGCTTATTGTTGTACGCCAACGAGGGTCAGAGCGCATCCATTGCAGCAATGGACGCAAAACGTGGTCAGCACTCATACACTCATCACGAAACGGTTGCTTTCCAAAGCCGACGACGCATCGACCGAAAGAACTGCTGATGAAGAACAATGAGGAGGACCACACAATGGTTGATGACGAGAGCGGCCTGCTTTTGTCGACAGCCGAGTGAACACTGTAACATTCATTGTTGATACAATGCAATAATTGTAACAATAAGTTCTATTGTTTTTGGATGGTAAATTTTTTTCCGGTGGTGCTTCAACAAGCAAAGGAAATAAATTAAAAAGCTACTTAAAAAATCGAAATCAATCTTTCATTTTGATTTAGTTTGGTTTAGTTTTAAGGGTAAGGTGGGGTTCGAACTAATTCCATATAAAGGATCTAAAATTGATGGTTTACAACTTCCTCTTACGAAGCTTTGATGAATTTTCAATTCATTTGTGACTAGAACGATTTTTTCGGAAGAGTTTTCAAAACGATTTAGCATTGGGGCAAAAGTTCGCAAACTTAATGACAGTTTTTGAGAAGTTTTGCCACTACAAATCATTAAATGTTCCATAATCATATGTTTGTGCCTAGATATTGGCAGAACATGGTGAACAACTAAATTTACTAAAAAAATGGTTTTCTACAGTAATTACAACAGGGTTGCAATTTTGCCGAGTCTTTTATCATATCCTGCTCCATTTACGATTGCTTAGAGTAAATTGTAAGTGCTAGTTGCCTCAGTTGGGAGCGATCCTGAGAATCCCTGACTACAATGGCCTAAGGGTCGGCACGCTTACCGAACTAGGTTCCACGTGGCAAGGAATGATCGCACTGGATACAGCAAAAACTCCTACAGCACTTCAATATTCTAAATTACCACTTTTTATTGTCGGATTCTACAACACTTTTATTCCTCCCTACGTATGTAACACTCCCACTTTCTTAATTTCTATCTGACCTGTTTCGGTTGTCTTTCCCTTCTTCTGCGGGGCCCTTTGCAGATCCACCACCATGTTTCCTCGACGACTGCTTCGCTCGGCTCCACGTTCCACCTTCTTCCTTCTCTCCTTCGGCGGCGTTGGAAATCTCCTTCGCGCGCTATTCAACTTCTTATGCTGGCTGGGCCACCGAGTGTGTTGACGGACTCGGCCTCGGCGGTTCGTGCCGGAATTGTCCTTACTTGGCTGGAGACTGGCGTAGCCTACCGGTACGTCTACCAGGTCTACCTCAGCGGTTCTGTCTAAAACTTACAGCGGGGTCCTGCTGTCCGTTTTTTCCTCCCACTCTCTTTCACTTTCCTCTTACTATCTTCAACTATCTTCTGTCTGCACAGTAATGTTTGGTATTTTCTAGGCTTTGTCTGGTTTGAATATTTTACCAGAGACTATCGACCATTTATCTTGATGGTTCTTTGATGATAGACCTGATCGGTGTATGTAGCCTAGAAATACGTTCTTTGGGTCACTGTCCCTTGACTATTGGTCAGTAACTCAGGCCATTCGTTTTCCATCGCCAGTCATCGTGTCCGTTATGCCGTTAATAATGGCCTTTTTTGTCGTCACCTCTCATGGCCGCCTTAATGCTGCTTTTACTTCATCTGGTGGTGGGTTTTGTAGACTACGGTGGGTGGATGGCTGCGTAATACGGTAGGCTACTCTACTCTGCCCTACCAGGGAGATTTACTGACGGAGAAAAAGTGCACATATATACGAACATTACTTGCCATGATTTGATTTGACATATTAACGAGTACTCTACACGATATTCTAAAAATTACTCGACACTGAAACGTGAACACTCACAAAATAAATACGTTTTAGACAATTGTGGGTTTCGAACACGACTCGGCTCGAACTTTTGCCCACTGCACTGCCTATAATCGCATATCAGTCCCATTACCATGTGTATTTTCTTTAATTATGAAATAACAACGCTATTAATTGGCAGTGCACTTCGTAACTTCGGTGGCCATTTTTTTTTTTATTGCCTATTTTTATTGCCTTTTTTCATATGTGACTGATACTCTTAAGATTATCTTCAAGAAAACGCATCAAGCCTTGAAATAAAATTAAAACTTCACTACGGATGTTTTCTTGTTGTAGGCCACTAGAGTTGGTAAAAACGTTATAATTTATCATCCCGACAAGCCTATACTTTTTCGAAAACATGACCAGTTTTTGTGATTTGTTGCGAGAAAGTAAGACTCTATAAGTCTTTCCAAACAAGTACTAATACAATGAGTTTTGTTCCGTTCCCATATTCATGAACGGCAGCCGTGTTCACGATCCGCGCTTAGAAGAAAATGTACACCGTGAACCATAGTCCACGGATCTCGTTCACGAATATAGGAACAGATCTTTTTGCGAGCGGGCTTCGAAAACCTCAACTGAAAAGTGAAATTGAGCTACATCCCGTCTCCGAACGTATACTGGTACTACGTCCATTTGGTTTGCCGTTGACATGTAGTTTCAAAAGTCAGGAGAGACCTACATCGGGCTCGTTACGTCCAATCGTTCTTCGTGGTCGCGAGATGCAAGCTGCAGTGCTAAACCCCGTTAGGCAGACTATCTATGATCGGAACTGCTACACAAATCATGACAGAGTTGCTTGCTACGGGTTCACTTGGACTGATTTGGTGAGATTGTTCTTTTTTTTATATTTAAACTTCATTTCCATGAATCCGTATGTAACATCTTGATCCGGTTGGAACTCTTTCTTTTTATTTGTTTACATTATATTTCAATCAATATTCTTATAAAGTTTACCAAATAAGGTCTCAAAATTGAAATTGAGGAGCTCGGCTAGCTGGGTCGCTGATGCTTTTGCTTACTGAGTAGCAGATCGTGGGTTTACTTCCTCGCTAATCCAACATAAACAAAATAGTCGCATCGCCAGGGGCCTCATAGCCTAGTCAGTAAAGGCACGGTATTACCAAGCCGGAGGCGGCGGGTTAGATTAGAGGGAATCTTTCTGGTTTGAAATTTTCTCGACTTCCCTGGGCATAGATTATCATTATGCTTGCCACACAATATATAAATTCATGGGATGGAAAGAAAATCCGGTTAACTTCGATTCTGTTTTTAACCGTAGCCGTTCTACCTACAGTTGGGGAAGTTCAGACATTTTGACTGTATTTTCGAGTAAAATAGATTCTGGAAAAATTTATACTGACAGCTATCCGCCTGAAATAGAGCAATTCTCAAGGAGCTCAAATACTAGCATTCTTGATATATGGGTGTTTGATAAAGTGAAACAGTTTTATGCGAATTCAGAAAATAGCAAGAAACTTTCATCAGGCAGAAAGCTTATACTTTTCTTGCATTTGTTGGGAATGGATACGTCGGGATACATCCATAAACCATATTCTCAGTGAGTAAAATAATTTGAAATAAAATTTAACCAAGACATAATTTTTTTTTCTTTTCATATAAAGTCTCTTTACAGAAAATCTTATTATCGTAGATAAAGGTATTGAACAGATAGTTCAGCTTATTGACAATATTACGAACCATGATCAAAGGACCACATATATCTTTACATCGGATCACGGAATGACGGATAGGGGATCACACGGATCTGGTCATCCTGTTGAAACTGAGACTCCTTTTGTGATATGGGGAGCAGGAGTGGAGCATTGGACAAGTTTAAATGATGATGTTTCGTAAGTTCAAATGATGTAATGGTAGAGTATAATCAATT